TGGCAGTGTTCACAGCCAGGTTGGATGAGCCTTGAGCAACCTGCTCTGGTGGGAGGTGTCCCTGCCCAGGGCAGGAGGTTGGGACTAGATGATCTGTAAGGTCCATTCCAACTACTAAAATTCAATGATTCTATGAAAATTACTATCAGACATAAAAAAATATAAAAGTCTTCTCCAGGGATCTTTAAGGTGAGCATCCTCCCAAATGCCTGTGTTAATAAATGACTTGGACTAAACACAGTATCAAAATCCATAAAGTCTAAAACAAAATTATTTATCTGAAGATTACTTTTCACCCTGTTTGCTCACTTTCTTGTCTCCAAATTACCATGCAGTAATAAACAGATTTTCCAGTAACCACTAACTTCTGGTGCAATTTTGTAACAGCTACAGAAGCATACTGAAACCACTTCCTCCCATTCTTCTATTTCCTTCACAAGGCACAAAGCACAAAAGACTATTGCTTTTCCCCAGAGATCTTTCAGAGACACAACTATGAGTATAGCAATTAAACCCCTCCCTGAAACCCAAGAAGGGAGCTGCAAAACCTACTGCCTCATGGTCTGACTGCTCAGCAGTTAGTTTCTATCTTCCTCCTGTTGTCCTGTACATGTACCTTCAAGACAAATATCCCAAACCCCACAGTCTAATAAGCATGTTACAAACATTCAGTACTAACAGAAATCCTATTTTTGTTGGCCTTCAGGAAAGTCACTGGAGATCAACATGCAGGAAAGTATTTTTATTTTGCTAAAGTACCACCCCTTAAGGAATGTATCTAACCTTGCCAAAAATGTAGCTCATTGCTAGATACAATTAACTACTAAAGTTAGACTTCAAGAGGCTTCCCCGCCCATCCCCCTTGAGTCAGCTTTAAAACTGGCATTGACAGGCATATTTTTCATCAGTCTGCTCTGCAGAATTTAATAAATACAAATCTGGTACCTGTGTCTTCACTCCTGGTGTCATTGGTGTAGCAAAGTTGTTCAAGTCCCAGATATAGATTTCAGACTCATTAGCACCAGAAGCCACCAGATTAGTCTGTAAGACACAGTAATAGACATTAAGAGTATTTTCAGCATCAGCTTTCACAGTCTTAGCTGCTGGGAGGCATCAGATCTGCAGGACTCTGTCCATTTCCCCTGTCAGCTCAGGATATAGCTTTTGGCTCACACAGAGCAGCTTAGGGGAAAAAAAAGCACAAGTTTTTCTGAGATTGCAGGTAAGATTGAGTTAATTAAAAACATCCACACACTACACTAGACTGGCATGCTAAGACTGGAGCTGCTGGTTTGTGGAGTGCTCCTTCACTGCACAGCAAACACTCATGAAGAGGCTGCAAGGGCACAGCCACAAACAGGTGAGGGGAAAGTAGTGACACTTGTGCTGCACCACAGAGCTTTGCTCCAGACAGAGCATGGCATTTGTGCCCCTGGCACACAGCCACAGTGAGTGATCCTGCACCTGGGATGCAAAAGTCCAGGCAGGGTGACATGAGCCAAGGGCACCAAGCACCCTTTGATCACATCCCATAGCTGATGACAAGCAAGTCCAGACTTCACAGCAGGCAGGAAGAGAAAGGTTGTGATTCAGAGAGGTCACAATGAACACAGGGCAGCTCTGCTGAAAGCAAGTGTGCAGGGACAGAAGTGGTATTTAGGAACTGAATTCTTGCACAGCTGCTGGGGACAAGGAGAAACCAACACACTGCACCTAGAGGGGAGTAAATGTTCATTAGGGATGTGGGAAAGCTTGTTGGTTTTGAGAGCTCTTCTGCTAAAGAGGCCACGTGGCTGTCTTTCCTTACTGTCTCCTCTTTCCAAGCAACAATACTTAGAGGCCATGAGGAGGGATCCTACCTGATCCCCAGAGGAGATACCTGAAATCAGATTTTCCCAGAAACATGAGTGAGAGCATGTAAATACTTCCTGTGTGATGGGAACAATACTTGCACACGGCTAAAGAAAAGGAGACTGGCTGAAAACACCTCTATTTTACACATAGGCTGAGCTGAAAGATCCACAAAATTGACATGTGAACTGACAAGAGGAAGGAGTGAAGCAGACACCTTAAGCACTTTCATTCCCCATCCTGAAACGCAGGACAGGATAGGTTTGTCCTATTAAATACCAACAGACACACAAACACCAAATTTAATTCATGCTTTTCAGGGTAGGGGAAGCAATAGAAACATTTTAGGTTACAATTTAAGATAGGCCACTCACCTAGGATAGTATGCCATGAAAAACAACAGAAAACCAACCTGGAACATGTTGACATCGAGTGCTCTTACAGGCCCTGTGTGCTTGTCTTTCTGGGCAATTATTACTTCGGTGTCTCCATCTATGATTTTGGCTGGGTCATACAGAATGACACTTCCATTTTCTCCCCCAGCAATCAGGACTCCAGAGACTCTCTCAGCTGAGGTCATGCTGTGTGGGCCCCAGATTAGCTTGTGGTACCTGTAAGACACAGAGGTCCCCAGAGTCTGTAATTATCCAGCACTCCCCAATGCTGATGCACCCCAAGCCTCCAGACTGCAGCAAACACACATACCAGAGAAAAGCACTGTCTGCACTTCTCCTTAAGGATGAGTCTCTGTACTTACAAGCCCTAAGACTGTCCCAGTTCTGCTCATTAACAAGACACAACATGCACAACCAATAACCTGGAAACTGATAACATCTCTAACCTGCTGGCTGTAAAATCAGGTAAGTGCCAACTGCACCTGATTTTGATCTCACCTTTGCAAAACAATAGGAGTAATCAAAGTTAGGACTGTAAGCCCATCTAACTGTAGCCTGGGGGTAAACCTATGCTGTTTGTGAGCAGCTTCATACAAGAGAAGAAATAGGTACAACTAGAAAAATTCCACATCCTTTTCCACATCTGTGCTTTTGGATGTGCAAGTGTTTCATCTGCCTCAGCAAGTGGCTTACACACATCACAGATAGGTCTCTTGGACTACAATCTATGTTTCTAGCTAAATAATGAGGAATTAAGCATACTTCCAGAATCAGGTGTTTTCACACCACTGTGTCCATCTGTAAACACCCAAATTTCCTGCAACTCAATAAACTTGCTGCATAAGCCAAACAGCATTCCTGTGCATTTAGCCATGCAAAGAATGAATTCCTTCTATGTAAAATGACACAGTCATGTATCAGCTCTTATGCAAGCAGCAAACAAAGCCACAGTGACTGGAATATGGCAAGGAGCTACTTCAGCATTATTCTCTCTTTGTTTTGTCTGGGCAGTCTTCAAGTAATTTCTTGAAATCATAGCAACTTCAGCATGACAAAACACATACTGCAGAAAGCTACACAAAGAGCATGTGCTGGGTGGGAAACACTAAGAGCCAAGTGCTCAGTCTCCTGGTGTTCAGATCACAGCAGGGGCTCACTGAAGAGTGATGCTACAAACTGAAACTGGTCTGCAATATCACACAGACCCATTCCCTGGGTATGATTTTTATACTTCTGCACCTAATCAGGAAAGCTTATGAGAAATGGAGGGACTGACAGATTTGTCCAAGCACCACCAGCAAGACTGAACACGATTTAAGATAATCCAAAATGAAAGCAGGAAAGTGAGGAACAAAACTAAGAGTTAGCTGTGCAGTTACTTTCCTCTTGCCCTTTGCACTTTCCAAGATAAAGTTCTACAAAAGCAGTGCAAAACTTTCCTTGAAGGGCAATTCAGGAAACTTACTGCAAGATTTATCTTTTGTGGGTCTAATCACCTGGACATTTGAATTTGCTGTAAACCAAAATAAAGCCTCCTGTACACAGATAGCTTATCGTGAATCAAAACAAACAAACAACCCTCGACCTCCTTTGTGATGCATTTTCTGGGGCAAAGTCAAGTTCTTGTGGTGCTGCTCAAGGGAGGTACTTTCAAAGGAGCACTGCTGGCTATCAGGAGGTATTTTTTGAAGTTCAGTAAGCAAATGGCAAGCCTTGGAAAATCTCAGTCACAGCTAAAATAAGGTAGAATAGTAAAGTTCTAAAAGATCAAACACCTCATCCTACTCTGAGCAGGTCAGTAGGACATGCTGATATCAGCTTTGCCCATAGGACATTAAGCAGAAACTGTTGCTGTTTCACTCACCCACAATGAGCAGTAGCCCTTGGACCACCTGCCATAGAGAGCCACTACAAGAGCTACTGAGATGGAAATTGAATGTTTTGATGCTAAGAGTATTTCTCTGGATAGCACATGGTAAGGAACTAAGAGCTAAGTGGAGTTGTACAGTCAGAAACTTTGCTTCCCAGCTGTGGGAACACACACACCACAACCTGATTTAGTTATGTTACAGGAATCTCCCTGAAGCATCAAAATGCAAACAGGATGGGGCAGTGTGAAAAGTTGCCACTGCATTTTCACAATTTCACATTTTCTTCATATTTCAGCACTGAACTTCTGCTGCTCTCCTCACCAAATGCAGAGAAACCGCATGAAGTACAACAGCTCCACAGACATCACTTTTCCCTTACAACACTGCCTACCTGTGGGAGGAGGAGAATGTGGCACAGGTCTTCATATCCAGTGAAGGGTCTGATAAGTCCAGCTCAAATATTTCTAGAGAAGCACTTGTACTGAAGGTTGCATCAAGCTGCTGAGCTGATGTACCTGCAAAGAAGCACAGCTAGCAGTGAGAAAGCCACAATACATGAAACAGTAACTGCAAATGCAGCACAAGGAGAGGCATAAAAACATCATCCTTGCAAAAAGGACCCTGAGATAGAGCCAGGTTTCTGTTAGTTAGATGTGGTTCTACATAACCCTCCTCTCCATGGTTCCCCCTTTGGGTGTTTCTTAACCAATAAGACCTCCACAAGATTTGGGATGATGCACAGAAAATGATCCAAATTACAAACAAGCCACAAAGGACTAGTGGTTAGCATAGCTGTCACCTTCCCCTGGCAGAAAGAGGAGGATGCTTGCTGTCACGTGCAGAATACAAAGCATGACTTAATGCACTGCACAAATGGAGAGCTCCACTGAAGACACCACAACAGCCTCCAGGACACAAAGAAACTCCTACAACTTTCAATCACGGTGACTTCATGGCAGTCACCCAAGGCCTGCTAGAACATGCTTCCCAAAAACTCACCTGTGGCCAGGTAAATGGGGTGCTGCTGGGCAGGGCTCCATGCCTGCATGGCAGTACGGTCTATCTCCTTCAGCTTCATTTTGCTACAAAACAAGACCAAGAAAGGTGATGCTGAAATGGAGCATGGTGAGACTGCACTGCCACGGATTCAGCAGCTGCAGCAGAACTTGGCAGACGCAGCCAATTGTTTCCCTGAAAACGAACACATCTCAGCCAAAACCAGGACAATATCCCACCGACAGACACCTAAGCCATCCCCTCCAGAGCACAGCCGGGGGGGGAAAGGGAGGAATAACTCCCTGTTGGCAGAGTAACACCGACACACCGAGGAAGCTGATGGGAGGAAGCTAATGATTACCGAACAAACCCATAACGCAGGAAAACGTGGGCAAAGCTTCGACCGCTCTGCAAAACCCTCTTCTAGCAGCATCCGAGCAGCACCTCTCTGCTTAACCCAGGAAACAAACCACCCCCAAGAAAACCCTTGCCGACAAGCAGCTCGTTCTGGCGTCTTATTGCACCACCCTGGGCGAACACCCCGCGCGGCCAGCGGGAGCGGCACCCGCAAGAAGGGAAAGAAAAGCGGAGGGAAGCGGAGAATTTCGCCCATCCCGGCTCACCTCCGCGTCCCCGGCGCTCAGCGCTCCAACGTGGCAGCCTCG